TGCCTGACACCAGCTTTGTGATCTCCAACTTGGTGAAGAAATAGAAAACGGAGTAGAGAAACAAGTATAAAGCGGAGGATCCAGCTGTAAGATAAGCTCTCCACCACCAGTTATAGTCTTCGCTGCACAACTGGAAGTAGCAGAGCACAACAGTTATTTCTGCACATGTGATTATCAAGATGAGGAAAACTATAAAGAGAAAGCCAAAGATGTAGTAGAACTGGTTCAGCCATATGGACGTCAAGATGAAGAATAGCTCAATGAAAACAGCTCCGAATGGAAGAATTCCCCCGATAAGTATCGAAAAGGCTGGTTTCATGTACCATGCTTGCTCTGGTACTTGCCTAGGGATTTTGTTCGTCTTAACAGGGTCTTCAATGGCTGGTTTTTTGTAACCGAGGTAACTGCCGACAAATACTAAAGGTACCGAAATCCCAAACCATAAACACACTAGAGCCAACATGGTCCCAAATGGCAATGCTCCAGAAGAATGCTCTTCCCAGATGAGAGCATTCAACACGAAGAAGACAGCAAAAAGTATTCCAGGGAACATGAAAGCAGTTTTCAAAGTAATCCTTTTCCACTCTGTTCCTTTAAACATTTTGTAGAAACGGGCAGAAGAATAGCCAGCTAACAAGCCCATGAAAACCCATAGTAGAACCATAGCAGTCATAAGCCCACCGCGGTTCGAGGGTGATAAGAAACCCAGCAGAGCAAAGATCATTGTCACAAGTGTCATTCCAAGTATTTGGACACCAGTTCCGACATAAACACACAATAAACCAGAATTAATTGGAGCGCGGAAAACATCCCCATGAACAAGTTTCCATCCTGTTTCTTCCTGAGCCTCATCTTGTGTTTCCAATTGATTATAGTTTGCAATATCTCTGTACAAAGTTCTCATCATGATCATCGCAACCATACCAGAAAGGAATAGGACAATCATCAGGGAATTTATGATGGAAAACCAGTGAATCTGATCATCATTCATGAGCAGGTATGTATCCCAACGAGAAGCCCATTTTACCTCGCTTTCCTAAGGAAGAATAATAATAGTAACTAAGATATCTACAGACAAAAAATAATTGTCTCAAGCCTGGCATAGGAAGGACAAATGTTCAATAAGAGAATACCTTGAAAGAAACGGCATAGGTGAATACAACCTCCTTATCTGCATCTACTTCTTGGGGAACAGTGCTACCTGGGACTAAATCTTTTGTATTCTCATTGCACGTTGTCACCTGAGGGTTCTTGTCATCCCACTCCTTGTACTCATGATTGATGCTATCAATAAAATCAAGTCAGAACAGAACGAAAAAATAAAGAAAACAGACTCCTTGTACTCATGATTGGTTCAATAAAATCAAGTCACAAGAGAACGAAAAAAAAAAAAAAAAAAAAAAAAAAAAGACACAAGGCATTGGTGTAAAACACTGAAACCTGTTTGGCGTCACTTCAAAACCAACGATACGCGCAGTATCAGTTTCAGGATCCTTGTGGTACATGACTCGGAAGCTCAAGTGGTTGTTGATAAAATATTTCTCCTCTTTGCTCTACCAGAAAGAGAATGCAAAAACAGTTAGACTAAATTTGTGAGGATTAAACCATCAATCTATTGCAATTCACAGACTGCACAAACCCCAGCATAATTCCCCTTGAACCCAACACGGAAACCATGCTCGTAAGTGGTAGATTGAATTCCATCCAGCCTTTGTCTAAGAACAGCAACTGGAAGGTTATCTAGAATCCTGCAGCATCAGATGAATATTCGGTGTTGAATCTTAATTCAGGTGCAAAAATATGAGGAAGAAGTCATGTACAGGAGGACTAAGTTGTCTTACATATTAGCTCTATGGTTTAATACACGCGCAAAACATGACCCAAAAATCATGCAAGGTAGGATCAAACAAAATTCTTAGGGGACAAGAGTATATTCAATTTAATCTTACATATTAACTCTGTATTCATCATCAATCTTTTCCTTGAAGTTCTTTGCAGATTCAGCATCAAGCTTTTGCTTACAAACCACCTGACATGGTTGTTCTTGTCTCATTTGGAACTGTAAACAATTCAAAAATACAGATATACTCAGCAAGTATACACATAAGCACGTATTACACAAAAAATTCTTTCTTTTTTATCCTTTGACAGTTATCAGACTAGACAGAAAGAGAAGATCTCCTTACAGTATAAACTGAATTCTCTATGCGGTCCCCTCGAAGAACCTCCCCCAAATTCTCGGCACTATTCAAAATCTTGGTAGGTCTGCAGTACTTCAAGAAGTAGTAATCATAGGGAAGTTGTGTTTTTGTAGATGACAGCTTGTTCACTTTGATATTAAGGGGATCACCCTGTCGAAAAAGAAAGCTAGTTAGAACAATCAAACATGACAGAGGTAGCAGCAGGATCCATAGAGTTGTCAGATCAATTTCATTTTTGAAACAATAGAAGAAATCCCAAAAACCAACGCTAGAACATAGCAAAAACAGTACATTTCAGCTGATTTTCTTTTCTGGTTATTCTACTCCAAGCAGCCAGTCCAAAGTGTTAAGAAAGTGATAGCCCAACAATTTCTTGTATACAATTTCATAATATTCTATGCTTAAACCATTAGAAATTCGTCAAAAAACTTCAATTTTTGAGTCAGGTAGCTCAACTGCGAAAGCAACACTAGGGATGACCTTTTTCTTTTTTATGATGATGGGGTCTAGGCCAGCTTGTGCATATGACTATTCTACCGCACAGAGGCGAATCCAACATGTAAGCTCTATAAGTTCAGCCTTTAAGGTTCTTAGTATTGAACCATTATATTTTTAAAATTATGGGTTTATACCTACAATTTATTGTAATTTTAGTGAATTTTTACACATAATTTTATGCTTCGCGTCAAAAGTATTGGGTTCAGTTGAACCCGGTAACAATACATTGCATCCGTCTCCACCACCGGGTACCTGCTATTTCTCACTAGCAGAGGTACCGGGTAACTTTGTCTGCCAAGGCTTAGACACATGGAAAGGCAACAACACTATGAATGATCTTTTGATTAAGATTAAGGTCTTCACAGCCTCTTCCTCTCTTAAAATAAGAACTCCAGAGCTAACATACACTCTACATTTCTCTGTTAAGTTCACACAAGCTAACTAAGCTGAAAAATACAGATAAGGAATCAATCATTTCTATTCACGTTTATATGCATTCACTCAAAGCACTTTGATTACCAGAAATGAGATTGGCCTATCAACAAAAAGAGATCATCCATCATTGATCAATACCCATTACACGAGAGAGAAAAAAGAAAAAAACCCAAATCAAACAGGGTATATTATCTCCTAAAACTTCACCATTGGGTCAAAATCAACAGATCCAAGCCCTTCTCAGTCACAACAACTGAACAAGGATGTAATACTACAGAAATTACTAAACCTCCAAGATTTATAAAGGTTCTAAATCACACAATATATGTTCATAAAAACTAGAATCCAGCTAAAAAGATTCAATTATTTTGTAGGAAAGAGAGATAGAGAAAGAAGAAAAAGGAAGGTATAGATAGAGCATACAGTTTGAAAATCGCGAGGAGCAACACCGGGGAGATAGAAGGAATTAGCAGAGGAGATGAGGAACACAAGAGAAATGAAGATGGAACTGATCTGCACCGATCTTCGTCTACCCATCTTCAGTTCTCGTTACGCCAAATGAGAGAGAAGACTGAACTGGGAACAAATTAGAAGCTTTTATGCAACGAAAAACGATTTCCTATTTCCAGGTTCTGTTCATAATTCCGCCCCTTTTATTTCCTTTTTCAAATTATTACACTTTCTTTTTTGGAATATCTGAATGTTTTTCCATTGATTATTTTATTATTCACTCCATTTACTTTTACTTATCCGGTGTACCCTTTGAACATTCCTTAAAAAATAATAAATAAAGTACATAATTTACAATAATACTCATATTAATTGATACATATTTTTAATAAATTTGAGAAAATAATTTAAAATGAGTAATTAATATCATGGGTATAACAGAAAAAAAGAAATCGTCTTCTTTTGATATGCTAAAAGTGACAAGTAAAAGTGAAAATCTATTTTTAAAATATTGAACAAGTAAAAGTGAACGAATGGAGTAGTATACTAGTATATATAACTAAAGTATCATAATTCTCAGTAATTCAAAAACAATTTTAACTACTCAAATCTTAAATTTTAATTTTAATATATGATGTTTTGTTGAGCTAACGTTTTTCAACCATATTTGTAATATTTTAAACAAATAAAATATACAAGTCAAATTAACATCTTAAACTATATATTCTAACAGATATTGTCATATGAGACAAAGCTGGGAGAGTATTAACTTATTTTACAAGGGGTTTGTCCCTTATAATTGTTTGACCAAAATCAATTGTGTTAGTTTACCAATACACCCTCAAAGTCAGAAAAAAATGAATAAATAAGATGCGTCATTTATTATTTTTATGTGAAATTTTGAGTACCAAGAACCAATATATAACATTTGCATTATTCAATCCTGCAAGATATTGATGATAATTTCGAACCCGAGTTTCCAAAACAAGGAAACATGTACATTGAATTTCAACCCAACCAAGCTAGCCTGATTAATCAACTATCTTAGACATTTTGTTAAGCTGATAACTAGAACGTAAAATGGAAATGTCTTATCAAGTGCGGGTAACTTGCCCTCACTCTTCAAAAAAACAATATGGTAATGGTTAAAAGAATTTATTCAGTAAAAACTTAAGATGTATGAAACATAAAATTTAATCTCTGAAATAACACGCAATTTTACAAGTTGATATTACCAAAGCTTATGTTCTCTTTTGGAAAATCTAACAAAAGGATTAGAGAGATGAATTAAGTTATAACACTTACATTATAGATTCAACTTTATTTCTGAGTCGCGGTAATTAGTTCTCAACTTTCTTTTTAGCCATTGAAATTTCACACTTCTCTTAGCGTTTGGATTGGAACTTTAGAAAGAAAGACCATGGAAATTCTTTTTCTCAAAAACCAAACACCAGAGTGGAGTATTCCAGTTTTGGAATGGGTGTCTTATCAACATTACCAGAAGTCACTCAGCTTTCCATACAAAGGAGGTGTGTCATAATCTTTAAGTCAATGAGCAGATATAATTAAGGATTCAATACATAATTAACAAAACCTAGCCATTTGAGCGACTCAGCAAATTCATAGGTTGGCGTTAGTTTTTTTCGTTAACATGGTTGCAACAGCAGCGCCTTCGCCTACGTGAAGATACTAAGAACAAGTGAGCAGGTGAGACTTGAACTTCTCTAGTTCATTGAGAACCTCATCTTCGGGTCTGTAAATGAGATCAATCATTCGCCATATCTGCAAAAGGTTGAACCATGAGACTTAAAAAATGTCAACGAAAGATGATAATGCACTATTGCACATTATGTTTTTTCATGTGTCTTGGATATATTTAGGGCTTTGCATTAAAAGGCAAAATAAACATAGGGTAAATCATAGCTGCCGGTTCTTGGATATATTTAGGGCTTGGCATTTAAAGGGCAAAATCAACATCGGGTAAATCATGGCCTTTTGGTAGCGATCGTGAAGGACCTTTAGGCGAAAGACTATCAAAAATCATAACTTTTCACAGAGAAAAGCAGGCACCATTCAACCTTATCAGGATTCAGGCTTAAGTCAAGCTTGGCTGAACCTACTGTACGACCAATCATCATTTACAATTTAATAAACACAGCATAGAACTATTGAAGCCTAGGTGAAACTGGAATAGTGTAGTTCAGATTTTAGTTTAATCAGATACTGAGCATTTTTTAATGCATCTGTTGGTCGATTCAGTATGAATATAATAAACAAGTTTGGCTGTTACCTGTAATGTACCGCCTCCGCCAGTACTTTCACCATCATCTGAGACACTAACAATGGTCCATGGATCTGCTGCATTCCAGTGGAAGTCAACCACCTTATCCCTATTTTCATCCACAAAGTCAGAACCCGATACATGGCATAAGTGAAATTCAGATGCTCTCTGCTTAACTTCAAAGGCATAAATATACGTGATTTTCTTTCATTTTTAATAAGCAGGCATAAATAAAAGTGATAACCCTCTGAACTTCCCTAACGAAAGAGAGAAAGGAGAATTGACTCTGCTCTTAATTATATCCACCATTAGATTTTTATTATTTACCTTCAGAGTTGGATAGTTAGAGAGAGAAGCTATACTGTCGCTCTGGTTTCTACATCAACAGCAAACAAAAAACAGTCTAGTGACCAGCCACCATCGGCCTAGTGCAATTTCGCGTGGACATGGTGAGATCTACAATTTATATGAAAAAGCCTATGTTGGAGAATCATACTAATCGGTGAAGCTTGAGGTGAGTAACGGAGATGTCTCTTAAAGAGATTTGCCAACAAAAGCACATCCCCAAGATTCAACAAGCTCTTTTTTAGTATAAACTAGAGGTAGAAACAACAAATATTGATTACGTAAAACACAGCAGAGAAGTAGAAGAGGATTTCAGTCTCTTTATAATAGAAAACAAAGGTTTTTATGATACAAAAACCTATACATAGCTCAAGACAAGGGGTCATCTTTGGCAACTGAATAGGGTCAGGGAGGTATCTCCTTGATTAATAGGAGCCGTTTTCAAGTAGTGTTCGATCGATTACGTATTAATCAATATTCGATTGATTGGTCTGAGGTTATCGACAAAAAAGATTTGTAAATACCACAGAACTATTGGTATAGCGAGTTCAAAACCAAAAGCCATTGCTCCTTCAGCCGAATGGGAGGACTCCCTAGAAATTCCTTGTTTAGAGAAAGCTGTACAATCAATGAAAAGAGCGGACAACACGATTACTGAGGTGAGCAGTCTCACATTCTCGAGAAAAGCAGACGAAAACGGAATTAGGAATTCCATTCTCTAAGACGAACTAAAGGAATGTCTCTAAGCAACCAAGGCCAAGAGCAAGCAGGAGAGGGCATTCAGATCGAAATATTATTTCCTTTTTGTCTGAAACCTTGGCATATATCTAAATTGTACTCCCGTGAAGAGCTAATGAAAAAGAAAAAACAAAAAGATGATTTTTGTTTTTTAACAGTTTGGGGAATGGAAGCTGAACTTCACTTTGGTTCTCCCCGAAAACGCCCTTCCTTTTTTGAGCCCATTATTAAGGAACTCGGAAAATAAAATGGAAAATTCAAAAATAAATATTTTATAACTCTAAAAGTTTCTTTATGATTTTGTGGTTAGTCTTTGAATCTAGAAAAAAGCTAAGAATTCACTTCGAATGAAGAAATTCAGAATATTGTTTCCTGATACTGATATCTCAATTTCTCAAAATACTTCAATTGGTACACGCAAGAAATAGGCTAATTCAGCAGCCTTTTGTTCAATTTCTCATGGACATAGAAGGAAAAGAGAACTAGAACCATGCAAACAAAATTTAATATAAAATAATCAAACTGCAAACTTATACCTATGTCCAGCGTGACGAAAAAATAAGCCAGGAGGAGATGTTGAAGCTTTTCTACCAGCAGAGTCCTCCATCTTACCAATCTGCGAGAAAATAATTTTCATTGAAACTACTAACAATGAAGTATAATTTCTTTTAAATGTTAAATAGAAACAAAATCCTTAAATCATAACAATGTTGCCACCTGAATGAAGAAAATCATAAGCTATAACCTTGTTAACGATGTCAATCAATGGATAATTCCAAAAAGAAAAGGCTTACTACTATTGTTAACCTAACAAATAATGATGCCTTACTACAACAACCCAGTGTATTCCCACAAGTGGGGTCTGGGGAGGGTGGATGTATCCGGCCTTACCCCTACCCTGTAAGGGCAGAGAGGTTGTTTCCAATAGAGAAAAGATGAAAGAAGCACTGATAGCAAATAACAACAATACAAGATATTTAGAAAACTGAAACCAAGATAGCAAAAGAAAAGATAAAAGAAGTACCGAGCAAGTAATAACAATACAGGATATGTAATAATAGCAATCTAAGGATAAAATGATACAATACTAACACTAATACTATTGAACTAAGGAAGACAAAGGGAAACGCTCGACTACCTACTAACCTTTCACCCTAATTCTCAACCTCCACACCCTCATATCAAGGGTCATGTCCTCGGTTAGTTCAAGTTGCGCCATATCCCGCCTGATCACTTCTCCCCAAGATTTATTTGGCCTACCTATACTCTTCCTCTTATCCCATGGCCAACCTCTCACACCTCCTGACTGGGGCATATGTGCTTCTCCCTTTAACATGCCCGAACCATCTTATCCTCCACGAGGACCGCTCTCACCTTGTCCCGAATAACTTCATTCCTAATTTTATCTTACCTAGCATGCCCACACATCCATCTCAACCTAAGTTGCTCGGACTAGGGTGTGGGTGTCCGATACGGGTGCAGATCTAGAGGTCAGATCCTTCATGATCTAAATTTAAAGATTTGGGGGTACGGATCCAAGTACGGATACGGGTGCGGAGATTCGGCTAAAAATAATTCAATTATTTAAAAATAGAGTTATAAAAATATGTCTAAATTATGAGACATGTGAAAAATTTACAAGGTATTCCGAGAAGGAGAAAATATTGAACAAGAGTAGAATTTTAGAAGGAGATAAAAGGAAAAGAAATGACATAGAAATTTATATATACAAGGTATTCCATTTTCTTCCATATCACCCTAGCTTTTGATTTGTTTTCCAAAATCATAGTATCTGTCCCAAATTTCTCCGTTGATTTTGGTCAAAGTACCCAAAATCGGTTGACCAGATCCGACACGGATCCCACACCCATACCCACACCCACGTCGTGTCGACACGGGTGCGGCACTGAAAGTGAAGCGTCCGAGTAACTTAGATCTCAACATCCTCATTTCAGTTACTTTCATCTTCTGGACATGGGAGTTCTTGACTGGCCAGCACTCTGCCCATACAACACAGTCAGTCTAACCACTACTTTGTAGAAATGATGCCTTACTAGGAAAACAAAAAGGAGCTTAAATGGTACCCAAAAAATCGCAGTCATTTCTAACTTGATTGCCAAACTTAGACCCTAATTGGTTTTATGCATACTATCTCTACTTATTTGAATCATTGGATAATATATTTTTATTACTTTATGCAAGTCACAGAAGTGATTTTCAAAGACAAAATCAACTTGATCTGTGTCATTAACTAGAAGAACTTCCTTAGCATATGGTTCATGAGGAAAAGGAAAAAAATATAAGAAGATAAGCAATTAAATTGAAATACAAAAAGAACTAACAATCTTTAGCTTTTCCCCTCAAAAGATATTTCTTTGAGCTGCCAAAATTTTGAAGAAAAAAATAGAGGAAAAGATACATTTATCTGCCTTTCGGCAAAGTCCCACCTTTTCATCTCTTTGACCCCCCCACCCCACCCCCCAACACACCCAAAAGAAACACAAGAGAGGAAAGGATCTCTAACCTTTTCATGATCCCAGATGTTCAGGATACCATCTTCTGCAGAACTTCCAAAGACTGATGATTTATCTGGGGACCACTGGAATAGAAATTGTTTATCAAACGCCAGTGCAGGTCTCATGCAAATAGGTTACCTTATCAACATAAATAAGGGTGGACAGCAAAAGC